ATTGTGCTTGAGGCAACATTTTTTACTGAAATTCCTATGAACAAAATGTGAGCATGGGTTTCCAGGAAGGCTCACTTCCAATCCCAAACCAGTCAGTGCCCAAATTGCTCCCTTTGAAGCTTCCACCCCAACCTCCCCCAATTTAAAATTTCACACAAGGATTTCGTGAACTCAATATTTTAATGCAAAAAAACACAACACATGTAGTTTTTTTTTAAAATAGCAATCTAGTCATTTCACTTTGTCTTACCCTTCAAATGATTTCGGATGTCTCTTTGGCCCTTTCCACTGTAGAATAGATTATCTTATTGTATGTATAACCCAAATTAGCCAGACGCTGTCCAGTTAAATTCGCCTGCTCACGACCTACAGCATAAAGAACACATTCTGGTAAGTAAGCGGGCTTCAAAAAACACAAAAGTCAGAACTAAAATGTAGCAAACTGATGGGGTTTACACCTGTTGGGCATGGCTTTCCTAGGCTCTCAATAGAAAGTCCATGACCTCACCTAGACACTGGACAGAAGCCAGGGGAGGAAAGTAAAATAATGTTTCCAATTTTCTCTCCTAATGTGTAATTTTTGTAATGTTGATACGAGTTTTACATAGAGGTTTGGTGGGAGTCTAAAGGGCCAGCATACCTTGCATTTTGATGGTCAGCTTTAAAACTAAGAGCAGACAGTCACAGTCTTCTCTGCTGCTTAAGTGCAAGACCAGATAAACCATAAAAGCTGAACTACAGCCAACCAGAAAATGCCATGTAGCTTAGGGATTTCTTAAATGGCTCCTGCCAAGCTGTAATGCTGCAGAGCGAGATTACAGGCACAGGCCTAAGGTAGAATTTAGAAAAACATGCTCCGCAAATGTAATGTTCTAGATGAGCAACAGACAGTGTTCCGGTGATTGCAATGTTCTAACAAGGAGCACAGCGGCCATATACATTCCTCCTGCAATGGCTGACCATATGGGAAACAGAATGCGATTTCAATTGGCAAGTTCATGGGTAATACTTCTAGTTCAAAGTAAAGGGTCAGAAAAAGGAGATGTAAAAGGGGACACACACACTAACTGGTCCCTCAGTCTCAAGAGGTGTGATACCAGCCCAAAGAACCTGGTCTAAACATGCACTCAGCAACAGAACAAAACCGCATACAGGACTGAAAAAGTGGCAACCCCAATTTACAAGGCAATGTTGAGGAATAAATACCACACACCCATTACACATGAAGAAGCCATAAGCATGAAAAGTACACAGATGCTAACCTAAACCTACCAAGCGTTGTTCAGACTTTTAGAGTCAGTTTCACCATCCACATTGTACTGGCCATGGCGGATAAGGAAGATATGACGCCTGGCACATGCTTCATATTTCTTTAGGTTTCTTTTCAAATCATCCTCTTTGTTACCTTTCAGGCCATTTAGATTAATCAGAGACATTGGTTCATACCTACAAAGGGTGGAGGGGAAAAAAAAAAAAAAAAAAGTTAGTGGGGCAGTATATCCCACTAGAAAGGTCTGCTTTGCAAGATGTTTACACACCCAAGTGTCAACACACCATTTTTTTTATACATTTTCCAACTAAATCCAGATTGAAAGTATGTGAATGCTGGGTGAAAAGTGTGTAAAGACATTTATACATAGACCCCATTATACTGTGACTGCACATGCATTGCAGTTTACATGCATTACCATGTGTTTCAGTTTTAATATGAATAGACCATCTACAGTTAGTAGATTGCAAACAAGTGCATGATTTTTTAAAAAGTTATTTTGTACCACAACACACACACACACAATATGATGCATCTGCTTCTGTAAGGATTACAGTTACCAGAAATTCAGATATGCGCATTTTTTATAGCCCAAGAGTTCAGGCTCTTTTCACACAGCCACCTGTGGCTATACAATGTGTATGCCAGCATATTTCTGCCATTAGGGAGCCACAAGTGCAGCATACAGCCCCACATTAATGTCAATGGCAATATGCAAGTATACACTGGGTGCACACAAACACATTCAAACCCAAACACAGACTGCCTGCATTTGGGGTTGTGCACCATATACATATTCTCACACAGCAATTAAATTCTATGGGAGGCTGTACACTGCAGTTGTGGCTCCTGACAGACATTCTTTTAGATTTAGAAACAATTATATAGTGCAAGGGCTGATCTCAGGAGATAAAAGTTGATTGGCTAGCTTACATAGGTCCTCATATTGTAGTTTTGGTACATATAAAGTTGATTATACAGAGATTGTGTGGTCAAACATCATGTATTGTTGTTCACCCCACAAGAGATACCATAGCCAAGCTTATCTTTCTACTACATCTTATCTAGTACACAGCTACTATATAAAGAACTCACCGGTCCCAGTTGGAGTTCCAGCGTCTGGTGTAGTTTGGCAGCCACGGCACAGCAGCTACACTTGAGTCTTCCTCCCTTTGCCCAACAACTGCTGTGGCAAGAAGCATTGCAGCTCCACCAGCCACTGCCACAACCAACCTGCACAACATTCTGACTGATTGGGAAATACAGGTACTGGGGAGGAATATGTTAGCAGGGGTTATATAGCAAGGGAGAGGGGCAATTATCAATCTAGCTAAAGAGGCAACTTTCACTGAAAGCTTCCTTAGCTGGCCTTTTACTGTGGAAAGCTAGTTGTTGTGTTGTCTCTGGCTTTACTCAAAGCCTGCCACTCCTCAAGTACATATTGCTTTAATTGTTCTGTACAAAATAAGCCTTTTGAAAGCAAAAAAAGATAAAGATACCTCTGCCCCAGCTTACAACGCATCCAGGAGGCATTGGTGATATCACTATACCCACCACCGCCTTCAGGGAAAATCCCACCAGAATGCACTCCTGAAATTTGCAGATTTCCCAGGAAAATTAGGGGTGTCCCTGCCCGCCACCACCAGTGAAATTGCACTGCAAAGGCTAACTGCTTATTTATGTCTAGGGTAGCTGTGTTAAAGACCTAAAGTGACATGATCACCGCTCCCACTGGCTCCAAGACTGGCACCCACAGCTTCACCACCCCCCATTCACTTTTATACAGTTAT